TTATAATCTGTTAGTAGAAAGCTGAAAAAAATCCACAAAATACAGGCAAAGAAAGACATGTATTGTCATTTTGAATGATGTCTGCAGGAGGGTACTCTCAGTGGGAGTGGCCATTCTGTTATAAAAGTTAAGAATTGGGGATCCCTGGGTGACTCAGCAGTTTAGCACCTGCCTTAGGCCCAGGGCGTGATCCTGGGGTCCCAGGATTGAGTCCCGCGTCGGGCTCCTTGCGTGGAGCCTGCTTCTCCCTCTGCCTGTATCTCTCCCTCTCTCTCTCTCTCTCTCTGTGTGTGTCTCTCATGAATAAAAAAATTTAAAAAAGTTAAGAATTGAAGAGTAATAGTGGCTTCACAGAATGTCACGGTGTGCCCCTGGACACACCATCCATCGAACTATAACTGTGACTTCAATCTGATTTAACTCAGTTTCCTTGTGTTTGATCAGCATGCCACAAATGTTGGGCATTCTCTACCCTTCTCTTGAAGTAGACATTAGGCTGCTGGTCTGGACCGTTTCTATCTGGATAGTGGTGATATATGTGTTCAAGTCCCTTCTAAGTCAAACTCTAAGTGGCTCTAAGGCAAAATAAAATCTGACATTTCAATGGCACATGGAAGCAAACTGGATGCTCAGAGATGTTCTAGGCAGGGAATTATTTTCATGTTCAACCTATTATAAATTGGCACTTCCATAACAGGTCAACCATTTGGTTTTTCCCTTTTATGAGTTACTTAATTTATGTGGTTTTGGTTAGACAGACTCTGCAGACATATGCAGTTCTGGAAGTGTAGAGGAGTACAGGGTGAATAGTTACTCTCCTTGCCATCATCCTCCATGGATACAGTTTTCCCTCTCTGGTGACATCTGTTTTACCCATTTCTTTGTTCTTCCAAAGATAGTATGTATGTACACTTACACACACATACAGAGATGATATGTTATATGTGCATTTGCCTTTTGATACAAATTATTGTGTATTCTATCCCCTATTTTTAAATATAATAGTATGATTTTGAAGCTGTGTCAATATTTTTGACTGCTGTATAGTATTCCATTTTATGGCTCTGTTATACTTTATTCAGTCAGTCCCTATTAATAAAGTTGTAAATTGTTCCCAGCCTTTTGCTGTTACAAACAACTCTGCAGTTGACATCTTTGTACATCCATCATTCACATATATAAAAATATATTTGGTGGATAAATTTCTTGAAGTGAATATGACAGATATTATTTTTGTCATAATGATATATTTCTGATTTTTATTGATGCTTCTATTTCTATCTCTCACTATGTGTTTTGTCTTTTTTTGCTGATAATATGAAAGATTTAAATTATTTCTCTGATAGTTTGTTTCTATAAGAATGTAGTGTACTTAAGACTTCTGTTTCTTTGATCAGCAGTGTTTGACTCCATACTGTATCGATGGTGAAATCAGCAATTTCCTGTTCTTCTTCCCAGTATTCCTTTCCAGTAGCTGGTTTTGATTTGTATTATTTTTCTTAATGCTTATATTTGAATATTTTAAAAAGTAATGTTCGGGCTTATCAGCTTTGATGCCTGGCTGTGAATGATAAGGAACACTCTACCTTCCTCTTTATATCCCTTTTCCTTTGAATTGTGTTGTTTATATAATGTTTCCATTGTTAGGAAATTTTTTTGTCTTGGATATCCAGGACTTTATTAGGATGACGACGGTCTGATGTGAGTTTTTTCCCCTTGAATAAGAAGTGCCATTTAGAATTTAGATTCCAGTCTCATTAATTCTGGAGCTCATGAATGTGTCTTCTTTATTGATCATTTATCCCCAATCCCTTCTCACTCTTGTTTAGCATTATTTCACTTTCTCACGCTTGTTGGCTACTTTCCTCATGTGCTCTCAGCAGTGACTGTTCTCCTTCGTGCTGCGTTCAAAGTTACCCTCATATTTCTTCGAGGGTTTGTTTCATCTATTATTTCCCTTTAGCTTCCCGGAGCCCTTGTAATCCAATGAGAAACACTTATTTCATCAATCAATAGCTCCATTTCCCTTTGCGAATTCATAGTAATGTACATACTTGATGCCAATTTCTGTCTGGTCTATAGTGCACATTTCTGGTGATGCTTTTTAATTTGTCACCACTGCCCCCTAGCCCCCACACTCTGTTCCATTCCATCCTTTCTCTAAATCCTATTATGATCCCATCTGGTTATCACTCATCCTCACTACAATGGGCATTCTGAACAAGCTGCAGGTGGTGGTTAAGAAGCAGGGATAGAGCTTTGTAAGTCATTGGGAAGTTCCTCCCAGCAGAGCCATGTACAGGAGTGAATTCTTTCAGACTTCTTCGTGCCCAACAGAGATTGGCAGCACTGTTTGCCATGCACAATCTCTTACCTCCACCTTGCTTCATGGAAGGATGAGATAACCATGATTCATCATGCAGCTCTGCTTCTCATGTTTCTGGAGGACGAAGGGAAAGGACAGTTACACCTTTATTCTGCCATTTAAATACTGGAAGTCAGCTGGTACTTTTTAATTGAGTTTAAAAACAGATTAAAAGAGCAATAATCTTGAGGCAAAATGAGCTATCTCTACTGCTATTGGCTATGCAACTTTGGGCAAGTCTTCCAACCTCTTTGAGCCTGTGTTTTGTTACCTGTTAAATAAAGATGAGAATAAAGCCTGTGTAGCTTGACTCATGGGGTTGATGTGGAGAATAAAAGCATAAAGGATGTGAAAGTACTTCAAATTGAATTCATTATATAAATGTAGGTTATGCCATGATGAATAACGATGATATTAAAAAAAGAAAACTCATCAACTCTTAACATCCATCTGCTGACTTAAAACTTTGCAGGCTTCAGAATGGAGGAGATTCAAGACAGTATTTCATTCACTCTGGGACATCCTTTTATTTCTAAGGAAAGATTTCAGATTTTAAAAGGATGTGCCCTTCCAAGGAATCATCTTAATTTTAAATGGTCCCCCAAAAAATCCCTCATAATTTTTATTATCCACTTGCATCACCCTTCTTTCCTTGTTACTACAGCTTTATTTGTAGGAAGGTTTTAAGGTCCAAAAACAAATAACCTTAGAACTTACCAACAATATCTTCAAAAGTCAGCTTGGGAGAACACTCTAAAAATCTCAGAAAGAATGTTATGTTCTTCTCTGAAATGGCATTCTCAAAAAGCCCTATTAACAAGAATTTGAGTCTCATTCAGTTTGCTGAGTATTTGGCACCATAACAACTGATGAAGAGTTTCTTATAGTTCCAGAACTATTTCATACTAGAAAACTTAATTATCCTATGGCCAAAAACATTTGTTGATGGTTTTTAAAATTATCATTCATATCATATGCTCCCTCAGTCCACGTATTTCAAATATAGATGATGCAACTATGTCCCTTACAATTTCCTGAGTGTCTCACGAGATTCATAGAGACTGGCAAGGTGATTCTCTATTTCAATCACCGTGTTTAATTACAAAGGTATACATTTCAATAATTCACCTTCAATCATTCCACAAATATTGAAAAATGCCAATTCTGTTTCTAGAGCTATTATATAGGTGAATGGAGATATAGACACCAATGACAGAATTCAACATTTATTTTGAATTTAGGATGTGCTAGCCACTGCATGAAACATGTGTTATCACATAAAATCCTCAAAATACTCTCATGTATTAACTTTTGTTGTTGTAATACACAACATCAATACCTCTGTGGATTATAACAACAAGTATTGATTTCAGGCTCACATTACATTGGGGCTAAGGGTTAGCTGCAGCATTTCAGGCCTGTGCAGGCTTCTACATGTGTTCTCATTCTGAAAACCAGATTAAAGACAATTTATGAGACAGCAAAAAGGCTGGTGGAAACTTGTAATGCTTCCGAAATTATCTTTTCAGTCATGACAAATGTATCATTCATTTGTGTCCCTTTGGTCAAAGCCAGTCACATAGCCAGTGGAGCGAACAAGTATATTCCTTTTACCTAGAAGGCTGGCAATGGTAGTGAGAAGATAAATAATCATGAACAAAATATGTAATTTGCCCCAATTTGCTCTTCTGCCCACAAAATGCTCTCACCTCTCCCCCGGATACTTAAAACTACCAGGCACTGGGCTCAGAGGCCAAGAATCTCATGAATATATATCATGTCTGCTTGCTGCTCTTCTTGATTCAGAGGCCCATGAACTAAAGTGAAAAGTTGTCCTCTTCCTCCCCCCAAAGCAATATAATATAATAGTAGAGTAGGGACACCTTCATAAAAGATTAGAAGAGTGGGTGGTACATACGCGTCACTGGTTAATAGCAGTCCTGATGTTTCACTGAGCAGAAATCACAAGCTCCTCCACCCTGATGGCAGGGAATGTTCCTTGATTTGTTCCAGTTACGTTTTCTGGGAGTCATTTCTCAGCCTGTTGTTCTCCACAATGCTTGATTGGACAGCTCTTCCTTCTCCATTATCCTCCATGGCCTTTTCTGAAGTGAATATTGGAAAAGATGCCATTTGTGACTGAGAAACTATCTTAGACTTGGCACCTGTAGAAGATTGGAGACCCAAGGGTTATTTTATGATTTGAATAGTTATAATCTCTTCTAATCCAGGTTGCAAGTGCTTTGGCAATAGATTTCTCTGCAAAACTGTTTTTCTTTTTGGTCAGTTTGATCCCACTAAATTCCATGTAAGTCAATACCCATACCCATTACTTTTTAAGAGATGCTTTCATAGGTACTTTGATCTTATCAAGCTTCAGGTGAATGGCGTCTTTAGTTTCTTTTCTCTGAGCCATTCATCTAACTGGGATAATTTACTAGGGCCATGTAATATAATCAGTAGATGACAATGGGTGTGTGGGATCTGTGAGCAATCTTTGTCTTAATTTGAGACTCTTTAACATGTTAAAAATGAGAAAGTTTCCATTTTCAACCCTAAACGTTCTGGAATTTCTGGATACTTGCAGCTCTGCTGGACTCATCTGGACTCGGCTCCTTATGTCTTCTCATTCCAGAATCCAGGATGAAGTAGAAGACACTCCATGAACCTTGATTGTCTCAGGATGAGTATCAGAACACACAGGCTGGTGGGAACATGCAATGCCTCTAAGAACTTCAGCTCAGAAGAGGCAAATGGCTCATATATTTATGGCCCATCTTGTCAAGTCACAAAGTCTCTATCCTCAATCAGTGGGATGAGGATGCCTACAGGGAAAAGTGGAAAAGAGGAAAAGGAAATGGATAATTGTGAACAAATGATACAATCTCCATGCCTTATGAGGCAGATACTGCTATAACTCTCCTGATAGAGAAGAAAATTGAAGCACGGAGAGGCTGAGAACATCATCCAAAGTCCTACAGCTTCTTAGTGGTAGAGTCAAGATTTCATCCTGGGGAGTCTGACTCCATGGTGTGGAATCATTTTCTAGATTCTTCCTCTGGGAACTCTCATTTTTGTGGCATGACCTATATCATCTTGTATAAATTTTCAGCAGGCTTTAATAAAAGCAACTTTAAAGAAGACTCAAATATGGCAATAATAAAGCTTTGAAAAGTGCTGTTAGAGATATCTTCAAGAAATAATTCATTAAATTGATGCCAGTTGTAACTTGTGAAATCATAAAGCTCAATGCAGGATTACCAAAAACATGATGGTAACCTTATCACAGCATGTTCAATAATTGGATCCCTTCAGAGGAGCTCTCAGCTTCCTCTCAGATTTACTAAGCTATACTTTTACCCAGAATCGGAGAATATAAAAACTTAAGGTACCAGATAGTGAAATGAGTTCAAATTTCTGGTGTTACATTCAAAGAAATTTTTTAGGACAAATTACCCCAAGTCTTTGGATTCAAAAGCTCTTTTTAAATAACAGGTCAGAAAACAGTGATTAAAGCCATGTTACAAGCTCATCATAGCAAATGTTAGAATTCTAAGTGAGGTGTGCTCATCCTTGACTCTTTACCCTTTTCTTATTCTCATTTTTTCAGAACTGGCTCAGATTTTCCTGGAAGAAGAATTTTCTGTAAATTGTATTCCAGATTTATCTCCCGAGAGGCATGGAGCTTAGACTTAGGCTGAAGCTCCCAAATACTCCCTAAATAAATTCTTATTTTATATATGGATTAAATCAAATTAAAATCAAGAGTGGCCTTGAGGAAAGAGTCTCATGAAACACAACAGACACCCTGAATGATGTGTACAGCATGGGAATAGTAAGGGGAGAGCTGACTTGGTTTTATGGAACTGGTTCTGCACTTCCATATGTATGTGGTCAATCAGGGCTGGAAGACTGAGGGAACCACCAATAAATTAGAGTCAGAGTGAATCTGGGGCTAGACATATGCACCAGAAGTCCTTCTGGAGAAAAGCAAGCTAGCACCATTGGTATTTATCCATACACTGAGATATATCATGTGTGAGCAGCTACTTTTCCCCTGAGAATTTCTTCACCCACTGAATTAGGATAGTTTGACTACTAGAATGGATGATCTCCAACTCCTTGTAGCTTTAATGGAATAGAAAGTTTCTCATTGAGGTCTTAGTTTAAGTATTTGATGGATGGCCCCCATGCAGCAACATTGACACTCCGGATCCTTCCATCCAATGACTCTGCCATCTTTGGAGTCTGAGAGTTCCTCACCAGAGGTTTCTGGAACTGGCATCTGTTGCATTTGCTCGCATTTCATTGGCTAGAACTCAATCACATGGCTCCATGTAACTGTGTGGGAAGCTGGGAAATGTAATCTTCCTGTAAGGTTATTATTAATTCTCTATTAAGGGAAGTGAACGGGTTTGCAGAATGTGTTACCAAGCCTTGTAAAAGGGAAACCCCCTACAGATAAAAATCAAGTGATGTCTTTGTACTGTGAAGAAGAATGTGGCTGTTAGGTCAAGGGGGTTCTCTGCTCTTTGCTGAAGGAAGTTCTGAGTCCTTAGCATCTGGTACACAGCTTTTCATGGTTCAGCTCCAACTTGCTTCTCTGGTTTCATCTCTTACCGCTCACTGCCCAGTCTCCACCTTCCCTACCACATACACCTAACACTCTGGCCAGATCAGACTACTGGCTATTCTTTGAATGTGTCACATATATTCACACGTTTAGGCCTTTGCAAGTGTTGTTTCCTGTTTGAAACACAACTCACTCTCCACCACAAGAACTGGGTCAGACATCTTTTTTCTATGAGACTTTCCTTGAACTCCCTCCCACAGGTGATAAATTCATTATCACCTTACTTACACTCCCACAACATCCTATATACTACCTTCTTATAACTTACTATGTGGCATCTTTCTTATTTGTTTACCTATATGTCTTTCCCCTTATACTGTAAAATAACTGAGTGAGATACACACCTGGGAGTCCTGAAGTCTCTCAATGTCTCACTGGAGAAACTCTCAGTGAACATAAGTTAAGAATAAGCCAGAAGTTTGGAATACAATAAAGCCACTGAGTTTTATTTAAGAAATGTTGTAAGCTGTTTGGAAATATGTTCTAGATGCATTTTCACCTCTGGAGAAATACAAAAGCTAAAAGTATAGGTAATGCATTTCTGAGGCCAAGATACCCATGATGTTGTGTTCCTTGCACTGCTTACCATGCTGCTGGTCTGGGTGCATGGAAAAGAATAAAACAGCTCAGTAAGAGTCTCTGATGAGATGCAATCTCCACAAATTTGCATGGAGGAAGCCTCAAGTTTTGGAGAAGTGTAGGAAGAAAATAAGCTTATATAAACATTTCGTTGCATGGTCCCTGCAAAGGATGTCCTTTCTTGGGGGACTGTGCAGAGCTCTGGGCTGAGTCCTGCTGAAGCTTACTTGGAATCCTTCTTTCCCAATAAATGGGCCTGAATTTCCACCTTACCAAAGTTAACACAGACAGCTATGGTTCAAAAGAAGGTTTTCCATTACCATAACAGATTGCAATAAAAAGCATTGGCAGAGCCTCTTCCTCTTTATGTTGGCATTATGGCTCTAGGCTTAGTAATCTTCAGGGTAAAATGAGTTCACCTTTTATTCAGATTTTTTATTTTCTGCACTCACTCTTCATTTCATGTAGTTGGGTTTATACAAGCTCACAATCTCTCTTCTCCCTCTCCTGGCTCTGATTCCTCAAGGCCTCAGGCCAGACCTTCTAAAACAGACTTTCCTAGCAGTCAGTGCCATGGTTATTGCTCCCAGTTCTGTTAAAAATAGACCTTGTTCTGCTGTTTTAATCCTTAAAGAATAAGAGGTGAGGTCATTTTCTGCTTGGAAAGTTGGAGAGCCGATCCAGACTGACTATGAGTGATTGGCACTAGCACATTCAATTGCAGAAGAAACAGGTGTTAAAGTGACTTCTCCCATCCTATTAAATAGCCTTTTCATACACTGATTCACAGACGTGTTTCCGTTCTCATGACTGAACAGGCAACCCTGTAATTTGTCCGCGCCATCCATTTTCTCCCACCCCTTGGAAACAGTTTTTCTTCAATATCTTCCTCCATGGTCTATTGTCTCTGTAAGTTTCTGCCCAAGGTGAGTGGTAGAGGGAGGATCTTATAGGATCCAACAGCAAAAAAACCAACAGGTATATAATTGACGAGGACTAGCACTGGGTGTTGGGGTTCCTCTTTCTGCTTTTCACCTGCTTTCTGACAATAGCTTCAAGTTACTAAACCCTCACATCTCAGAAATGACTCCTTCACAACATTGGGGGGAAGGCAGGGGAAAAGAGAAAATTGAAAGGGAAGAGAGAGAATTCTTAAATGAATGTACCAAACACTAGAAATAAGGAAAGTATCAATTAGATTTCTTTCAAGTCTTTCGGCTGTCATGTAATTTGGTACACATAGGATGTGTGGAAACCACAAAAGACTTGAGCAGCCTAGCTGTTTGCAAAACTCCAGTACAAAAATCAGAGTTAAGAAGACAACTTCAGCTGTAAGCCCCAAGATTGGGCAAATGAGGACAGAATGGAAAAAAAAAAGGTAGATTTTTGAGAGATCTGGGTCCTAATGTCAGCTTTATTATTGAACATATCCCTGGCTCTGAACAAATTATTTCATTTCTTGAGACCCGTTTCTTCATGCACAAATTGAGGAAATAAAATTAGATGATCTCCAAGGTCACTTCTGGTTTTCTCCACGCCATTATCTGTACATCATATCATTTGGAAAATCAATTGTGTAGTGTTACTGCCCCCAATTTACGTCACTATAAAATGGCCACAACAGTGAAATTGATCTCTTGTTGGTTTGTCTTAATATTTTCAATTTAGGAAAAGTCTGTGTGCATGTGCATGTCTGCATCTGTCTGGGGTATGTGTTTGTGTTGGGTGTTACATGCAGATTTGAAGTCCTGGAAGTAACCAAGTAAAGCCATTGACTGCATTTAGGAGACCAAGAACCAGAGGGTCAGCCATAGTGAAACATAGTACTTTTCTCTCTCCTTTAAAAAATTCTTAATATTTTTACTTTCTTCAAATGACTCTTCACCTTTTCTTGTTTCTCTTTTAGAATCTGAGCAGGACTCCTGCAGACCATGAGAGGCCTCTAGCAGGTTCCACCACTGCTTATCAGGATTGCTTTCATCCTCTCAGGGAGGGCGACAGATAGTTAAAGAAGAACCGGAAAGGTACCAGGCTGGGGATGAGGCTTACAGGGACCAGGGGCAGCTAATGATGACATCAAAATCGGGAGGGAGCCGTTTTTATATTCTCGGGCCAGTGGACCTTTTAGAGATTCAGAAGTACCCTAAGCAGGATTCTTTCATGCCTTTCTTGGTCTTGGGTTGGAAGTATATTGATTGGTGTTGTCTGGCTAAAGGGCATAAGCAAAATCAGTTTTTCTCTGAACTTGTGCTTTTGCCAAGCCGAGTCATCTTCAACCTGGTTATTTGGATTGGTGCTATAAATTCCTCTGCATGTTTCAAATGACAGACATTATTCTCCTTTATTCTTACTTTTATAAAAACATAGACAAGAGTGGCACCTGGGTGGCACAGTGGGTTCAGCCTCTGACTCTTGGTTTAGGCTCTGGTTTCAGGTCAGGAGATCAAGCCCCATATCAGGCTTCCTGCTCAGTGGGGAGTCTGCTGAAGACACTCTCTTCCTCTTCTTCTGCCCCTCCCCCCTCCCCGCCCTCCCAAATAAATCAATACATCTTAAAAAAAGATAAACAATTTCAAAATAGAAATTAAAAAAATATTCCATGGTATAGATTCAACCTAATGCTCCAAATTATTATGACTGGACTAAGATCATCAGTCTATTGATCTTTAGCTGGTTTTTATGTGTGAGTCCAGCACTGTGCTGTTGAAGATAATAAAGCAGATTCCAGCTTGTTGCTCAGCTAGTGCCAGTGCTGGAAATGAGAGCTGGCTGGTGAGCTGGTAGGGGCCTCATTAGGAGTCTACTTGCTTGAGGTACTGAGGATTCCTAGAAAGAAACCAGCCTTGGGAAAAAGGCAACTGGATCCAGCTTAATCCAGTAATAAAGCCTTATTACTGGTTGGATGAGAGGATTCTGAATATTTCCCTCTGC